CTAGCCGCTTTTACGTTCAAGCCAGTGGCGTAGCCAGCAGGGGGCCAGGGGGAGCTGAGCCCCCCCTACGGACTTTTGAGCCCCTCCTGGAGAAATTTTAGAAAGACATATTCTGTTTATACCAAAAGAGATTAGTGTTTGCAATTTTACCTTTTAACATATATATTTAATTTTGTGCAACTCATATGTCTTTGAATAAAAGAAAATACAGTAAATGCGAATACAAGTTTTAATGAGGTTTATTAGGTTTATTAGTTTATGAGTAGTTTATTTCAGCTTTGCAGGTGGCTGCAGTGATTGGTTTGTATCAGAGTAAAGCGATGTCTGTTGTTGTGAAATCAGAATGAAAGTTCATACGTCTTAGGTAGATTGTATTGATCATTTTTAAAAAAATTTAGCTTTCTCTTAATTTATTAAATATTTTATATAAATTATTATTTACAATTATATAAAAATTTAACATAGTAATGGAGAGTAAAATATATAAATGTAAATATAAATATATAACAATATATATTATAACCAACGTTTCGAATGTAATACGTTTTTTTTAGAGTTAAAAAATTTTGTTCTTGAATGAGAATAAATATGTGGTTGAATCTTCTTCTTTTTATTCTTCTTCTTTGCTCTTTTCTTGCCTATTTGAATTTTTATACTGGAATGGACGAAGAAAATTAATTTTTACAAGTTAGTTCTCTTCGTCCATTCCAGTATATACGTTTAAATAGGCAAGAAAAGAGCAAAAAAGAAGAATAAAAAGAAGAAGGTTCAACCGCATATTTATTCCCATTCAAGAGCAAAATTTTTGTGTACTCAAAAAAGTAAGTACACTCTAGAATCGGTCAGTGTGTCCGGCCGAGCGACCGGCCGTTTACGTGATAACTTTTGAAAGCAGAGTTCAATCATGATGAAATTTTCTACACAGTTTTGTCCCAACAATATCTCGGTTTAGTTCGAAGATGAGAATGAGTGTCCGAGCCATTGGTGAGTTATTGTAAAAATAATTATTTTCCCCTATGCTTTCCTATGTGAGGATCAACCAGTCCCTGCTTTTGTAAAAGGCATTCCCGATCATGGTCACATAAAACCCCAATTATTATATACCATTCGACAGAGAATTTCACGAGCTACAAAATGGTATATAAAGCATCAAGAAACAAGGAAGCTAACTCACCTATTGCAAAGATAAATAAACGGAAATCGGTTCTGTTCTTGTCCACGCTCTAATTGATCCACAATTAGAGCTCTATCTTCTGATCGCAAAGGCGATACTCCAGGGTTTTTCGGGATGGAGAACTCGAATTTGTACTCCACTTGCCTCGAAGCTTCATTGATTGAGCACGGACCAATAGAAATCAAGTTATAGGGAAAACGACTTTCTTAGAGTAAATCAAGGCGAAGGCCCCAAACACCGACTAATTCAAAGTGAATTAAAACTGAATTAACGAATAAATCGTCTCAAAAAGACCAATCATGTTGCGTAATTCGTTTTATTTTTTTCTGTATGTCAGGGACCAAATAGTTCAAATGTGAGCTGTATTCACCACCAAATCCTATTGGTTGAGCAGTAGCCTATTGAATTCAAATGTCAATAGAATAGGTTTGCCTGGCTAATTTTTATATCCAGATATTCTAGGATGACTGATTTGTCTCATTCACTTTTTGAAGTACACATAACTCTCGGATATAAATCCGGGGTTTCCACATTTATTTCATCTATTGTTGTTATTTCAATTGAACAAAGATCGAACATCTTTTGCCATTTTATATTTGTTAGCTCAGCTTATATTTTGAGGAAAGAATCAGAATAAACAAAAACCAACTCTATATTGGGTTTACAGATAAGTTTCATATACCTAAGATGGGTCGAAAATTTTTGAGGGGCTGAGCCCCCCCTAGCCCAAAATCCTGGCTACGCCACTGGTTCAAGCCTGTCTTATTAATCAATAGTCGCGCTCCTAATGATTTAGTTCATTCACTTTGAGCTCCTGATGCAAAAATATCATATTTACGAGAGGAGGCTCTCAATTGGAAATTCAAAATCTAAAGTTGCTCTAAAAATGCAAGAGGAACAAATACGTTGCGTTAATGTAGTATTTCTACCTATAAGCAAACAATAATTAGCTAAAAATATGCTTTCCAAACTGATTGCAATAAAAATAACTATTTAGTCTAGCAAAACTTGAATAGTATAATTACGATTTTCATCTAGGAAATCAGAAAGTGAATGATGTTACAATCGAAAAAAAGTTACATCTAAAATAATAAATGAATATTTCATAACTTATTAAATAAGAATCATTTTTTTTTCTTCGCAAGTTTTGTCTATAATAAAAATAATTCAGATTAGTTAACAACGAAAAACAAACTTTACTTCTGTTGACCTTTCGGAATGATTAAAGTCAACAAAAGTTGAAATATATTACTAATCTTCTGTTTTCTACCATTGTTTGCTTGATAGTGAAAATTTTTCTTTTAATATCTTTTTGATAGGGTGAATCTTTATAGCTTGACGGGAGTAACATTTTCGACACTAGAATGATACAAAAATCATATAGTGATCTTTTGAAAATAATACTTTATCATATATAAATTAGTAACGAGTTAGAAATCAAGATTATTAAAAACTTGCACATAAATGTTTAACGTGTCAAACGAGATAATTTTCTTCAGAAAGCGATTTAAAAAAGCTTGAAAAATTAAGTTTTATTGTTTATGTATACAATACTTGTGATTATTAAATCACCTCATGTGGGGCCATTTGGCAGAGCTATAGATAGCTCTACCTAAAATGGCTGTAAGGACGGCATCAGAAGGGATCATTAGGAATTAAAAATACAGTTGAATAGAGAGATATTTTCTCTACATACGTTGTAGCAATTGCTTTCTCGATAATTGAAAATAAAAGAAAATTATTATCATTTAAAAAAAATCTTCAGTTTCTTGTACAGAATTATTTCTTTTCTTCTCTATCTAATTGAAAGGGACGAAAAAATTCTTTCGTTCTGTAGCGAACACACAAATGAATGAATATTCACTACTACTATCGGAATTTTAAAAGAAGGCACCTGGAAAAAAAGCTTATAACTTTCGAACGAAAAGTCTTAGCGACCTGCAGTTGTCAGCAATCGATAGAAGATTATAGGGAGCACATTTTTATATAAAAATCAAGGTTTAAATAATCGGTGATTGTAGAATCACTGAAAGAGTAGGCTCGTTATTTGGTGAAATCTCAGCAGAACAAGCTGAAACTTTCAGCATATATAGCCCCACTGTACCCCAATCTTCGCTGAAAATATCATCGATAAATCTTGTAATGACGAGGAATGGTGAGCCAATCATCATCTGGCCTTACATAAGGCTCTCATTCACTCAAAATATTAGGAAATGGCCTCAACTTTTGGCTGAATAAATAGCATAATCTAGACTTCATATCTATGCAATAGCATCGCACTTTGATCGTAAAAATGTACGGAAATAGCCAAAATTCGACGAAGAAATGGTTTTCATACAGTAAGTATTTTAAAACAAATCTTTCCAACTTTCTTAAGAGAAATGCAGAATTTAGTAATATTTTCACCGTCTCTTCTAGTTCATTTAATCAAACTATGATATAATTGCATAGATATGAAGTCTAGATTATGCTATTTATTCAGCCAAAAGTTGAGGCCATTTCCTAATACTTTGAGTGAATGAGTGCCTTATGTAAGACCAGATGATGATTGGCTCACTATCCCTCGTCATTACAAAATTTATCGATGATATTTTCAGCGAAGATTGGGGTACAGTGGGGCTATATATGCTGAAAGTTTCAGCTTGTTCTGCTAAGATTTCACCAAATAACGAGCCTACTCTTTCAGTGATTCCACAATCACCGATTATTTAAACCTTGACTTTTATATAAAAATGTGCTCCCTATAATCTTCCATCGATTGCTGAAAACTGCAGGTCACTAAGACTTTTCGTTCGAAAGTTATACGCTTTTTTTCCAGGTGCCTTCTTTTAAAATTCCGATAGTAGTAGTGAATAAAATTCTAAATGTTAGTCATAAAAATATCATTCATGGCCTCAGTTTAAAAAAATTCAAATTCTCGACATTTCTCAAAAACATTTCACAGAGCATAATAAAAAGAAAAGATATTTTATTCAAGACGTGAACCCTTATGATTCTATATACAGTATAGACTTCGAAAATGATTTCATCGACAATTCAGTATGTGTGTAAAAATTCGAAATGTCATGTCGATATCGATAAGGTTTGGCATAAAATTCTAATCCATATCCGCACCCTGAAGCATTAAAGGAAAAGAAAAATATTGATTTATTTATTGTATCTATGAAACAAGGGCAGGAAATACTTGCATGATGTTATCTTCAACAAACAACTACATTAGAAGAATTTGTTTTTATTACAAAATGAATATTTAGATTTGGATTATCTTCAAGAACTTAATGAAAGTAAATTTAAAATTTTTGTTTTCTAATATAGTACGAATGAAAATTTTTAAGCTCTTATTGCAACAGATACATTTGAGGGTGTGGGTGAGACGTAGGCATGGGTGCGGGATATACAGTATGATGTAGAGTGCGGGTGTTCTTTTTTATCCATACCTACAATCAACCACACTCCACGTCCATCCACCTATAGGATCAATTGCTCTAAATTACTTTTGTATATATCAAACTGTATCGATATAAGGACTAGATTAATTACAGAGTACATATAGTTATTCTTCTCCACATATTAGTGGCATCTTTATCACTAGCTAACAAATATGATTTTCAACACTTATTAAAAGAACAAAATATGTTTCTATACCCTATAAACTATGCCCTATAAGATGGCAATAATGAGTTGGTGAAAGGATGACTGAACTCTTGGTTATCGAGGTCACATGTTATTCGTTTTAACCTAGATATTAGTGAACAACGTTCTACGTTTCAACAAGATTGTTATTCATTTATTGACGCACATTGTACATCATTACTTTTTATCTTTTATGATAACAACACTAATGTTTACTCTAAATCAATGTAAGAGCCATTTCAAATAAGATAGGATTCAAAAAATAGCGCTTTACTTGTATTCTCAAACGTCATCATCATCTTTTTCGTATTCATTGTTAAATATTTGTTGACTAATTAATGCGTCATATTTAGTCAAATAAATGTTATTAATGTAGAACAAACAGGTAAAGAACTAAACATGACGTATATTCATATATAATATATAAAGGAGAATGTATAAACAGGAGAAGTAAAGTAATTAGTTAATTAATAATTATTATGGAAAGTGGATATGATAGTGAAGCGACTTCTATGATGAAATCGTATGATTTTTCATCAAACGAACAAGAAAATTTTTGTTAAACGCAAGATACGTTCTTTTTTGATAAAAAACTAGCACGGTCATGTTTAATCCTACTATACGTTGCAGTGATTATTCTCGTTTTTGGCATACCAACAATTCAAGTGATTATTGAATCTATATATTTTAATTCATGTCCTATTGATAATCGAATACCAAAATATCTTGTCATTGCTGGTATTGGTACATTAATTTGTTTAACTTTTGCCATTATAAAGGTAATATTGATCTTAAATATTTGATATATTTAATGAATTCTTTTTTTTTTGTTAGAATTACGCGAAAAAGTCAAATTGTTGGACATTTTTCTTGTTCAAATCAGGTACATTGTGTCTTATTTGGTTTATAATTGTAAGTCAAAGTTTATTAAAGATTGCTCAAAGTTATTGTAAACAATCTAAATATTTCTTATTTAGGGAACCGTTTGGATAAGTCATGGTAGAAAAAGAGTTCAATATTCAAATCCTTATGATACAATAACTTATTGTGAACATATAGTAATTACTTGTGTTACTGTAACACTAGTCTTTAGTTATGGAACCATTATTGGTTTACTTGGTTATCACGTTGAAAATTAAACATAAATATATTTTCAAGTAGATTTTTAATTTATCTTAATAAAACGATAATTTATTATTTTGAATATATTATAATTTCAAATAAAGTAAAATATTTATTGATTGATAAACAATTCTATATCTTTATTCTACAAAATCTTATAACAGTTGATAACAATACATTTTTCTGTGAAATAATTGTTTAAAAATTGTGTCAATATTCAAAGCGAAAAAACTTAAGAAAGAGCCAATTGAATAATGAATAAGTGTTTATCCCGAGTATCTTCAGATAAATTCAAATGATTTTAAAATATTTTTCCAATAAAATTGACACCCACACCCTTAGTTGGCTAACCACTAAAATTCATTCGTAGTTTCCCAATCAACAATTAAAATTACTAATGAACCATTACAAGACGTACGAGCTGATCTTAAACGAACATATGGATTGATTAATTAAGATAAACTGAAATAAATAAAAACAATCTATTGGTATTTATTATTATATTTAAGTTCATTTCTTCATAGTTTCATACGTATATTATAAAACAAAGAAGACAAATTTTAATTTCATATTCAAGTTTATTTTTAAATATACTCTTATTATAGAATTGAATGAACTGATTGGAAAGTGTCTGTATAATATATTTAAAAATCATTCAGATCACATGAATTCAAAATAAGTATGAAAATTTTCTTTTTTTAACAATTTATAGAAAACTTCTTACTGTTAAAAAGAATTTCATAGATGTGAGTATGAATGTTGTTCTTCTCTTCAATCACATTCCTACCCTACATCTAATTAATACAAAAATACAAAACTGTATCGTTTGTTTTTGAAGTACTTCTTTCGATGAGATATGATTAAGACAAAAACAATAAATTATGAGACTTTTTTCTTATAGACATAATTTTGTTGCAATTGACAGTTTATAATAGCGATGAATGTTGATTGATATAGTTGACAATTATTGAGATTCTAATCGTAGTTTAGTAATTTAGACTGAAAATAGAGTGTGGATGTTGGTTTGCGTCTCTACTACAACTATAATAACATTCACACACTCATACGCTAAAATGATATAGATAAATTCATATCTTTGAAATGATATATTACTCTATGATATTATCTCTTTTAATAATAGTAATATAAACAGAAGTAAACGGAATAATTAAAATCTCACAATCAAACAGTATTTTTTCAAAAGTTTTGGGTGTGGGTGTGGGTGTCGGGTGTGGTTGTGGGTGTGAGGTGTGGGTGTCGGG